GTTTCCTGCTGTTGGGTCAGGTTTGTACCATTTGAACACACAGCCAAGGAGATATTGGGTTGTCGAGAAAGTCATGACTTATTTTTGCGTTGAAAAACATAGAAAAATGCGTCACGACTTTCCTGAAGACCCAATAGCATTCTTGAATGTATTAAGACATTTCTGTTTTGAAAGTGGACTGACTTTGATCCTCTTTTAGAGTCATTTGGGTAGCTTGAATTCATGGCTGAATATTTATTTTTCTTCATGTTCTTTCATGTGGAGCTATGTGTAATGTGGGTCTGAAGGTACCCTAGTGTGACCTGACCAGGGACAGTCACTCTGCCCTGTGGCAGGTTCTCAGCACCCTCCGTATCTATTGCGGTGACTTGTTGGCCTCAGAGCTTTGCCAGAAACCCCTTAGGAATATCAAGCAGAAGGCTCACACTACTCAACTTTCTGTACCAAGAAAGCTTAGTAGACAAAACACTTACTGAGAGGCTGAAGCAAACGGCCCCTGTTTTTGCCAAAGACATAACCGAACGTCTCCCAACTCTCTCTCTCTCTCTCAATTTAGTAAACTTGTTCTCATATTTTTCATGGTGTCCAAAAAGAAGGGTCTTGTCCTGTTACATCAATATCAACATGTTACATCTGGAAACGCAATTTTCCTTTGCTTTCGGTGGGTACCAACAGGGACCAGCACTGTGAGCCTTGAGAAGAGGCATGCTATTTAATTTAGGTACTTGGGATTCACTGAGTCTTTCCTTCAGATTTCACGTTTTACTGTTTGGATAACAGCTGAAAGAGAAAAGGGAGACTTCCCTCAGTTCGGCTACTCATTCTCTAACTTAGGCCATCGTTCACAACGTGTGGATGTTGGAAGGGAGACATTCACCTCTGTTTCTCCCAACCATCCGGGACAACACCTCCCCCTAGGAGCAGAATTTCTTGAAAGACTTTTAAGTCTATTTTAAGTCTAAATGCATTCCAATGACATATGAGCTGGGAAAGAGAATTAAAAGTGCAGATTATACACTGGACCAAAGCACAGTCTCCATTAGACAAAATTCTACATTAGCATATTCAAATTAGACATACACAGAGGATGTCTATTAGCATATTCAAATTAGACAGTGTCCACGGGGGCTGTCTACCGTCCGCTTAGCCTATGTGTAATGCGTTACCTGAAATACCATCCCAACAAAGGGTCTCTCTACAAGATGCCAGCAACTGACGTCATCTTCTCTTTGTTCAGAAGTGCCTGGATGACAAAAGCTTGGGACCCATCGTCTCCGTTGTGCTTCAGATCCTGAGGCANGGTCTGCCCATGGAGCAGGCCCAGCAAGGCGCCTGAGTCAGTTATAGGCCAGCTCAGAGGTCCGCGCTAGCTTGCATGTGCCATTCCTACAGCTGAGGCTGCTAACATGCCCAGCTCCTGACTCGGCGGCAGGCTGCCAACTTGGCCTCTGCAATGAATCCAAGTTCACTGCAGAATATGTACGTGAGGAATAAAAGCTCCAGGAAAGGTCTAAATCAAATCTAAAATCTCTAAAGCAAATAGGATCATCAGTATCTTTGTCTCTCCCATAAGTACGGTTGATATCAGCATATTCCCTTCTAGTTTTCCTTTTTTTTTTTTCTTTTAAATAGCCCGAGTGTGAAAATGTGCAGCATCGGTGGGGTCTGCGCTAGAGAAAAACATTGAAACCCAGTGAGGACATGCCTGGGGTAAAGCTAAGGATATCACTAAATCACATTTCAGACTGAGAAGTAGCTACAAGCAAGACCCTGGGAGGATACAATCGAGAGACAGAGAGGAGGAAATGGAATATAAGGGGGTCATTTGGAGGAGAGGACAAGGATAATTTCATGGATTTGCCAAAGGAAAACTGGCCAGATAAGACCTTCAGCAGGAACCTTCCAGGGAGGGGCTGGTGGAGATGGGGCCCCCAGAGCACCTTTAAAATGGGGTAGGGAGGGGCTGGGGGGTGAGGCATTAAAGACCCTCAGAGCTCCTCTCTGTCCATCCCACCTCCATCCTCCAAGGACTTTAAGATAAACCAATCTACTTAGGAATTTTTTTTAATTAATTTTTTTTAATGGGGGAGTTGGGGGAGGGGAACAGTGTTGGGGAATTGGGAAGGGGACCAGCCAAGTTGTTGTTCTTCAATCTTCATTGTGGAGGGCGCCAGCTGCCATCTGGCTACCTGTGGGCAGTTTGTGGCCTCTAAGCTCAAGGTGCTGTGTTCAGTCTCAGTTGCGGGTGGGTGGAGCCACCATCTCATGCGGGAGTCGAACTCAGCAGCCTTGTTTTTAAGAGCGCACGCTCTATCCACTGAGCCATCCGGGCGGCAGCTCAGCTCAAAGTGCCGAGTCCAGTCTTAGTTGTGGGCGGGCATAGCCCACCATCAAACAGGCAATCCTGTTGTTAGGAGCACATGCTCTCACCAGCTGAGCCATCCTGCCACCTGTTGGCAGCTCAGCGGCAGCTAAACTCAGGTGCAGCATCACTGGCCCATGTGGGAATCAAACCGGCAGCCGTGTTGCTCAGAGCTCACACTCTTAAACTCACGCTTAACCAACTGAGCCACTCAGCCAGCTCTTTCTTTCTTTCTTACTTTCTTTTTTTAATTAAGGAGCAGGAATGTTTTTCCCAAGAGAATCTTAGGAGGAAGCCATTTATATAAGCAAACTAAAGTGCAGCTGGTCTATTTTGAAGAGGACTGGGGACCTGTCCCTCTTCTGCTCCCCAATCCCTGAGCTGACCTCAAAGAGCGAAACCCTACCTTTTCCCCCTCGCTATTTGGGCTCCCTTGCAGAAGCGGTGTTTTTCTCTCAAATCTTGTAAAACTCCCGTGAGTTGCTGATCCCTGTGACCCTCATTTCGTTCTTTGGCTCTTCTCCACATTTGCTCTTCCTCAGGTTGATGGATCTCTTCTTGTCGGATTTTAGATACATATTGACTTTTTGCAAAACTCTCCAAGCCATTCTCAGGGGAAGATTGACTGATGTGTGTGTGTGGGGAGGGATGGAGGTGTAGCTGTTTTAGATGTTAGTAAACATGACGGCTTGTTGAGGATTAACAGGAAATTGTGAATAAAATCATTGGAATTTGATAAGGGATTTTTCTTTCAGATAATTAAAGATTTCTCTTTTTCCCATTATCTTCCTCCCCGTCCACAAAAGCATGACGGTCATCAGGATAGCACATTATTAGTCTCTTACTCTTAGATAGATAAAAGACAAAAGCCCTTAACCTCCCACTGCCCATGGGGCCACTGTGCACTATTTTTTCTTTGCAATTCTGGCATCTTTTCAGCAGGCGATTCTTTCCTTTCATACCTCCTACTTAATCCTCAATTTTCTTTTAAACATCAGATATTGGATAGGCAGGAACCTCATTTAGGCAGTAAAAAACTCGAGTGCTTTGTGGCCGGGACCAGCCAAGAAGAGAAATATTTTCGATACAAAAGAATAATTCATTAAAGGAGGTTATGAAGGCGATTTAAACCTTCCACAAACACATCACCGAATGAATAAAGCTCATCACTCTCAGTTCAGGGTCATGGCTGAATGAAATGTTGAAAAAAAAAAGAAAAAAAAAAGTAAAACCAACTGCAGAAAGGGTCAGAAATCTCAGTGGCGCTCAGCCAAGCCTGACAATTTAGAATTTGACAAACAAGCAGAAAAAAAAAAGTTTCNAGAGCTGTCTTTTTTCCTGTAATGGTTTTTCTAGGAGGAATGGTTGTGTATCACAGTCGTGCTCTCTGTAGAAAAGTGAGCATCGCCAGGAACATGTTAGAGCCCTTTAGGAAACTTGGGCCAAACACATAAGCTGGCCTCTCTACTAGGACATTTCAGAACCAAGTGGGGTAGTGGGAGGCATGTGTTTCCCGAAAAAGAATCCCTTGGATGATTCTAATCCCACCCCTTACCCCATATCCATTGCAAGCCACTACGACCAGGAAAGATAATCCAATTTCTCCCAATACTTGCATCATTCCTCAAAGGAAAGTGCTCAGAAAAAACAGGCATTGGATTATTTGGGATCTCCTTTCTTGTTCATTGCCAATTGGCGTCTGGTCCCTCGTTAATGAGAGGAGGTGGTGTACCTTCACCCCACAGTCCCAACCATATAGACTCTGGCTTGGCTTGGAGAATAGTCTTCTGTATCACTGAGGATTCCATTGGAGGGGGTGCAGGGGGGGGGAGCGTCGCCTTTGGCTCAGCAAAGGGAGATGAAAATGAAAATTGCTCAAGCCAAAGAAAAAAGAATTATTTCCCATTGAAAATAAAATGGAGTATGCACGCGCTCAGGCAATGGAGCAAAGTGTGCAGACCAGAGAGTTTCATTAACTTATTTTCCATGTCATTAGCAAATCAATGGTGGATCCCAAGAGCTGCCCCGTTTGGGCTCCCGGCTGACATTTTTGGCCTTGGCCCTTGCATGCTACTCGCCATGCTCACGTTCCTGACAGACATAGTGTAGCGGCTGTCCTGGCAACAGCTTCCCCCCGATAGGACATTTGCCCTCTGAGTCCCAGCCTCGTGTCATCTTCCCTTTCTTCTTTACCCACCCCACCCCGGAGACCTGGATCAGAAATTCAGAAAGATCCCTTGGGCTTCCTTCCTCTGTCTTCCATGAAATCTTCCACACGTTGGTGTTTCTCAGACAAAACATTGACCTTAATCGTCTGCAGCAGACAGAATCCAAGGAATATACGGGACACATGAGTCCAAAAGCTTATTGGGGCCTCCCAGTCCTTAGGATGCCAACAGCCAATAATAACCCCAACTTCTCCCTCGGAAATGCCTTAGTGCCAAGGATCCCCTTATTCACACCACCAGAAACCTGCAAAGTCTCTGAACCCAAATGTTTGACAAAGCTCGCCTTCAAGTCAAGCATCCTGTGACCGAGCTTCAGCATCAGTGCTTCCTCCATTCCTACCGCTCAGCGTGGGTTTATTTATTATAAAGAAGAAAAGGAAAGAGGGCCAGTGCTTTCTGCACTCTTTCAGCTGGAGGTTGGGGCATTATTAAGCTGTTCTTCCCTGTCTCTCTGATGACTCTCAGGGTCCTTCCCAGATAACCGAAGGATGAGTGAGGACGAACCTTTAAAATGTTTCCAATCTTCCTTTTCAGGATTAAGATATTTGAGGATGTCCAGAGGTTCATCCAGCCCAGTGATGTCATAAATAAAGTCGTCTTCAGTTTAGATGAGCCTTGGTAGGTGGTCTTGAGCATCAGTGGAAGCGGGGTGGATGNCAAGTTGTTGTCCTTCAGTCATAGTTGTGGAGGGCGCAGCTAGCTCAGCTCCAAGTCCAGCCGCCATCCGGCTGCCTGTTGGCAGCTCACGGCTGCTCAGCTCAAGGTGCTGTGTTCAATCTTAGTTGCAGGTGGGCATAGCCCACCATCCCATGCAGGAGTCGAACCGGCAACTTTGTTGTTAAGAGTGCACGCTCTCACCAGCTGAGCCATCCTGTCACCTGTTGGCAGCTCAGTGGCAGCTCCTTGGCCCGTATGGGAATTGAACCGGCGACCCTGTGCTCAGAGCTCGCGCTCTTAACCAACTGAGCCACTCGGCCGGCCCCCTACTCCTTTTCTCAGTGGCCTGATGCTCTCTCCTTGGTTTACTTTCCTGGCCTCAGCTCCCACACTTTTTGTTATTTGCAAGACCGGGCTTTTCCACTTGTTGTGCTCTTGAGATTTCTAGAATTTTCTGTCTCCAGAGCGCCACATCCCGATTCCTTCCTATCATTTAGGTCTCAGCCCAAATGCCTCCTCAACAAAGGGTCTTCCCTGACCATCGAATCTAAAGTAGCTGCCCCACATAGTCACTGTAGCCTCACTATTTTATGTTCCCTGAGGTACTTACCACTATGTGAGATTACCTATTTTTTTTTCTTTCTTTGTGTGCCTATTTGGATCTGCACCCCCCCCCCCAGCTCCCCGACGGGGATGCAAGCCCCCTAACAGCAGAGACTGCGTCTGTCTCATTTCCGGCTGTATCCCCAGCACCTACAATAGTACCTGGCACATACTCACACGTAGTAGTTGCCAAATAGGTGTTTGTTGATTGAATCAATGCTTTGCCTTGGGTTTTGGGTATAGGAGCATGGTTTTAGTTGGTGATTGACTGTGTGCCTAGCCACAGCAGGATCTGACTTTCAGCACCAAGTGTCTCTGCATATTTGCACACGGAGAGCATACCTCTCAAGTGATTGCCTCTTGCTGGGAACCAACTCATTTTAGAGAATTTCCAAACTAACAGTCTTGAAAAATTCATGCTCTTGCCTCAAATCTAAGCTGCCATTGACTATAAGATGCACCATTTTTTATGTGCCACTAAGAGTGGGGGGGAAAAAAAAAGCACTAAGAGTGGGGGGAAAAAAAAAGCGCCAGATATAATAAAAAAATCCGTCGTTGATAAAGGAGCATCTTAATTTTGGAAGTGCTAAAATGTGGAAAAAAAATGTATGCCTTAGAACTGATAAAGTGCGAGATGAGATGGATTCATCAGATGGGCCACAGAGTGCCGAATCGGGGAGGTTGGAGTCTGGGGTATGTCACCGTTAGTGGGCCATTCTCTCATAGCGCTGCTGCCAAGCACCCTTCGTTAGACCTGGTACAGTCTGAGAACTAGAGAAAGCTCTAGAGAATTAGAGGCCCACGATGGATGCCTAAGGGTGGAGAAATCCCTATGGTTTGGGATTACTAGGTATTAGAAAGAGTTGGTGATTAGTAAAAGGAACAGGAGATGAGTCTAGATTTAAAACAGTGCTGTGAAGCATCGTCTCTCAGCCTTCTCAGCCCACTATTCCTGGAGCTTAGGAAAAGCGTCTCTTAATTTTACGAAGGCCATCAATGGGAAAACAAGATTTGCTTAAAACCAAAATTTGTAGCCAAGTGTACTGAAATGCAGCTATTCTACAACAACCACCAAAATACCTGCGAGCTAATTCCCTATCGTTTTTCTTCTTTGAACTAATAATAAGTGTAATTTCTATGACCAATGATACTAAGCTTATATTTCAGTCCATATATCGCTGTACCTCTTATGTGAGCAAGGCACTCCTGCATCTGCTGGGCGAGGAAGCCAGTCAGAATGAGTCACTCCCTCCTTCTCAATGGTATTGCACTAATGTGTGGGGCCCGATTTCTGAGCTGGCCTCATGAAGTTGCTGGCTGGATGTCTGGAAGGTTCCCATACATCTTCTCCAGTGACCCAAAGACCCATGGGCCGTTCATTGGGCCTTCAAAGCTTCTCGAGTTTCCTGTTAAAAATCAACTCTCACCACAAGTTAGGGGTCTGGGAGGGAGCAGAGGAGATGGAGGGAGATTGGGTGGAAGGGCTGAGCCAAGTGAAAGAAGTCCCTGAGGCTTTGGGGGTTCTACCTGCTGAATCTCCATTAAGTGTTCAGAAACCTCCCTCACGTGACTGATTCTTGTGGTAACAGTTCAGGGTTTTCATCTGGGTGCAAAAAAGTGTAAAGTGCACTAACCAGCACCAAGAGCCTTGGGGATAACGAGGTGGGATGTCAGTGTTGGAGGCAGGTGGAGATTCCATTGGAATCCTAGACGTGCCAGGTATGAGCTTGACGCCTTGCAGCTGGCGACGCCCGCGCACTGATCTTTGAAGTCATAAGGGAGTGTCTTGGAATGCTGAGGCCATACCGGGGATCATAGGTATGTGTGAAAGCACAACTGGTGTGCTTGATCACAATGAGTTTCGGTGAAGCAGCTGCCGGTCTAATCGAATCAATTAACTGGGTATAGATATTCAAATTGACTTCTTTGTAATTGACAGTTGTAAATAGAAGTTATTCGCCCGCCAGGATCAGGGCTTGCTCTCTCAGTCTGACCCTGGCCCTCAGAAACTTTACTTTTGACTCTTGTGATTTCTTAACCCCTCGCCACCCCTCCTGGAAACCCCAGCCCTTGTCACGCGGGATGGGATAGGAGCTCTACGAGTTTGACTGCTCTCAGCCTCTATGTCTTAATTTGTAAAAGGAACGGAATGCGTATCTCAAAGCATGCCCATGAGGGAAATGAGATGATCATGTGAGATGACTGGCCCAGCGCTTCTCTCAGGAGCCCTTGGGGTGCCCTCCCTGGTGAAAGGAATGTGATGTTTGGATGTCACCCTCTGGGGAAGGGAATTGCCATTTATTGAGCGCATACTTTGTGCCAGGAGTTATGCTGTGCATTTATTCCTTATAATGGACTAGTCAGGCTGATGCTTTAATTCTATTTTTTAAAATCTTGCTTTGATATTTGCAGATGGCAGAAATATAGTTCAGAAGAGCTAAATAGCTTCACCAAAATTACATAGTTGGGGAGGGGTAGAGCCGAACTTCAGATTAACAGCCGTGTGATCCTGGACCTCCTGTTTTTGAAGGAGGTTGTCAAGAGGAATATGCTCGTATCCTGATTACCTGGCGTTTTGTTNATGCTTCTCAGGGTGGTGTTCTTGGTTGGAATTATTTTTTTCGAATATCCCATTGTAGGATGATGACTTGGAAACAGATGTGAGCGAGCTGAGTTCCAGACCTGCTCTCGACCGCCCTGAAGAGGAACTGATGCAATACAAGGCCATGTGTCTTGAGCTCTCCTGTAGCTTTGAGGTAGGACATATGCTGTGGCTCTGCTCCTCGGTGATGCGTGGTGGGTTCTCTGCAGAACCTGGGAGGCCCAACAGAGGTCTCCAGATGGAAAGCATTTCTCATCGCCTGCAGTATGCTTCTGGGATCTTTTTGAGAGAGAAGCAGAAAGCTAAGCAAGGATGTGAAAAAGGTGGCTGAGCTATGGTGCAGGCTACTATCTGATGCCCGATGCCTGGGATGGAAGGGGGATGCAGGTATGCATTGCTGCCTGTTGCCTGGTGGCCAAGGTGCCCTGCCCCCACGCACTGAAAGAGTTTTGTTAGTCGAAGCAAATGGAGACCCTCACACCTGGTGATGTTAACCCGGTGGCTAGCAGCTGCTGCCACTGCTGTTGCTGCCGCCTGTTTTCTAGACCTGCCTTTTCCTTTCTTTCTTTTTTTTTTTTTAATAAATATTTTATTGGGGAATTGGGGATGGGGAACAGTCAAGTTGTTGTCCTTCAATCTTAGTTGTGGAGGGTGCAGCAAGCTCAGCTCCAAGTCCAGTCGAGCCACTCAGCTTAAGGTGCTGTGTTCAGTTAGTTGCGGGTGGGCGTAGCCACCATCCCATGTGGGAGTCGAACCGGCAGCCTTGTTGTTAAGAGCGCATGCTCTATCCCCTGAGCCACCTGGGGGCAACTCAGCTTGAGGTGCCAAGTTCAGTCTTTAGTTGTGGGTGGGCGTAGCCCACCATCTCGAACAGGCAACCTTGTTAAGAGCACGTGCTCTCACCACCTGAACCATGTGCCACCTGTTGGCAGCTCAGTGGCAGCTCAGCTCAGGCACAGCTCACTGGCCCATGTGGGAATTGAACTAGCGACCCTGTTGCTCAGAGCTCGCACTCTTGAGTAAGCTCTTAACCAACTGAGCCACTCAGCCGGAACCTAGACCTGCCTTTTCATGTCCATTATTTGCTGATGCCATTTAATAAATCATGAATTGGGACACAGCGAATGCTGTAAGCTAAGTCACATGGAGAAAGGAGAATTAATATATTCTAGTTCACTCCAGAATGCAAAAGGGGATCAGCAGACAAAAATTCCAGGGAAGGAAATTTCAGTTCAGTGTAAAGAAGCCTTTTTTTAAATCATTAGAATGATCGTCAAATAAAAGGCAGTGCCTTGGGGGTGCAGAGAAGACCCTGTAAATGAGATGGTTCAATCAAACTGTAGCTTATTAGGGGTGCTGCAGAAGGCATCCACGGACTGTATAGGATTGTACTAGACTCACCAAAACGCCTCTTAGAAGTGTGAGTTTCTGTGATTCTGCCGTTGATTTGACTCTTGAAGCTCAGTCTTTCCTTGGCTGACCTTGGGAACAGCTCCCCAATTCACAGCAGTTCTGCTTAGCTCTGCACCCAGAGAGTGAAGACAGGGATCAGATTGTATTCTAGACCTGAAAGCGAACACTGACATAGTCTTTCCTGCTTTAACCCTGAAGGAACTGCAGCCCAAACTTGGAGACGATCTGAACTCGGAAGGGACTCAGTATGCCAACCACCACCACCACATTCCAGCTGACGCCTCCCCAAAGCAGCATTGCTCAAATATGGACCAAAGCTCCTGGGAGCAAGAAAGAGAAGACACAGCCCAGACTTCCCTTCTGAGCATGGTGAAAAGAGGGAGGTCCCCCATGCAGCGAGCCTCCAAAAAAGGACCTGGAGTGAGCCTGCACCAAAATGCACAACCCAGTGGCCTTGGAACGGATTCTTCTGGAAATGAAATCCCTGACATTCAGGCTTTCCTCAAGGAGGACGCTTGGGACATAGATATGGTTTCCTGCCCAATGATGAGCACCTCCTTTCCCAGTTTCACTAGGCCTAGAGAAACTATTGAAGTAATAGATAAGCTTCTGCAAACACANGCGATGGCCGCGATAATGAGCGAGGAGGAGGAAGACGAGAGATCTGTATTAAGAGTTCACTGTGGCCTAGGGCGGGTCCCACGCAGAGGCCCATGCTTCTGTCCTCTGCCCCAGCGCTTCTCCAAGTTGAACAAGCATCAAGGTTACCTGCAGGGCTGCCAGCGCCCCATCCTCAGAGTTCCTGACCCTGTAGGTCTGGGGTGGAGCCTGAGAACGTGCATTTTGCACAAGCTCCTGAGTGACATTGATGCTGCTGGTCTGGGGAGCACACGCTGAAAAACACGGTCCTGTGCTGTTTGTATTGGTGTTTGTGATGTCATTACAAATCTACTGGGCATGAGAGCGACTGAGTAAGAACTGGTTTTGAGTCCTTTCCACAGCCTTGGTCCATCACATTGTTCTTTGCCTTCCTGCTGAGGCCACGGCTGGCCGTGTCCCTTTCTCAGGGACCCCACCTCTTTGTCTCCTGGGTCACATCTTTTCGCACAGACACTCGAAGCATCCCTTAAACATTGAGAGCATCATATTGTCCATAAGGCGGTGAAGGTGCTATGTAATGGAATGGGATCTTGTTGGAGCTTTGTGTGAGGAAGAGGGAAGAAAGACGACAATTTGAATGTAAGGTTAAAAAAAAAACAAAACCAAAAAAAACCTTACAAGGATGCCCTGAAACAGTTGGGAATAGTTATTGATTTGGAGAAATGGGTAATTGTAGATCGGCTTTCTACCTCCTGAGACTGAAAGCTCAGTCCATTATCTCTGATGTGCCATCTACCTTCCCTGTCGTCCTCCCTGCACACTTCCCTTTTTTTCCAAATATGCATATTTTTCAACAAGCACCTGAAGTCACCTGACTGGTCCNGGTCTGCCCATGGAGCAGGCCCAGCAAGGCGCCTGAGTCAGTTATAGGCCAGCTCAGAGGTCCGCGCTAGCTTGCATGTGCCATTCCTACAGCTGGGGCTGCTAACATGCCCAGCTCCTGACTCGGCGGCAGGCTGCCAACTTTGCCTCTGCAATGAATCCAAGTTCACTGCAGAATATGTACGTGAGGAATAAAAGCTCCAGAAAAGGTCTAAATCAAATCTAAAATCTCTAAAGCAAATAGGATCACCAGTATCTTTGTCTCTCCCATAAGTACGGTTGATATCAGCATATTCCCTTCTAGTTTTCCTTTTTTCTTTTTCTTTTAAATAGCCCGAGTGTGAAAATGTGCAGCATCAGTGGGGTCTGCGCTACAGAAAAACATTGAAACCTAGTGAGGACATGCCTGGGGTAAAGCTAAGGATATCACTAAGTCACATTTCAGACTGAGAAGTAGCTACAAGCAAGACCCTGGGAGGATTCAATTGAGTGACAGAGAGGAGGAAATGGAATATAAAGGGGTCATTTGGAGGAGAGGACAAGGATAAATTCATGGATTTGCCAAAGGAAAACTGGCCAGATAAGACCTTCAGCAGGAACCTTCCAGGGAGGGGCTGATGGAGATGGGGCCCCCAGAGCACCTTTAAAATGGGGTAGGGAGGGGCTGGGGTGAGGCATTAAAGACCCTCAGAGCTCCTCTCTGTCCATCCCACCGCCATCCTCCAATGACTTTAAGATAAACCAATCTACTTAGGAATTTTTTTAATTAATTTTTTTTAATGGGAGAGTTGGGGGAGGGGAACAGTGTTGGGGAATTGGGAAGGGGACCAGCCAAGTTGTTGTTCTTCAGTCTTTGTTGTGGAGGGCGCCAGCTGCCATCTGGCTACCTGTGGGCAGCTTGTGGCCTCTAAGCTCAAGGTGCTGTGTTCAGTCTTAGTTGCGGGTGGTCGTAGCCACCATCTCATGCGGGAGTTGAACTCAGCAGCCTTGTTGTTAAGAGCGCACGCTCTATCCACTGAGCCATTCCGGTGGCAGCTCAGCTCAAGGTGCTGAGTTCAGTCTTAGTTGTGGGCGGGCATAGCCCACCATCGAACAGGCAATCCTGTTGTTAGGAGCACGTGCTCTCACCAGCTGAGCCATCCTGCCACCTGTTGGCAGCTCAGCAACAG